AACCTAAGAAGACATATCTATATGACATTTCTTCAATTCTATTTCCTACATCTTCACAATTTAGCGAATTCTCCTCTAAAATTTAAGGAGGCGACAATGTGTTGTCCTTCAATTAACTCTTCTTTATTTCAATAATTGTGTGTAAATTCAATCGAAATATGTACCGTTTGTTTGTTGGTACACACATGAACACAAATGCTCTGGTAACTAAAGTTTTTCAGTATTTTAACGATTAAAAAAAAGAAACGTGGTGGCAACGTCATGTAAACTGCACATTCAGTTATTACATAGTGGTTTGGGATTCACATAGTTTCAAGTGTTTTTCATTTTGCTGACTCTGATGTAACTGTCTCACTTGTCGCTCCCTTTGTTTGGCTACCTTCGCTTGGCAGAAAATGTGAGATCATTCTTGCCACTCTATACACCATGATTTTTTGAGTATGGGCACTTAAGAGAGTGTCTCTGTAAGAGCGGTCCAGTCGATTTTGCTTGAGACACCGATTTTGCTCGTTTCTCGTGTGTTGTAAGATATTCATGTACCTATACTAAAACCACAATCAGTTTAATCGGATCTCTTTATTTTTCAGAGTTTTACGGAAATTAAATTTCACTCGAGCAAAGGCTTGTCGTGACACTTTTCAAGACTTTAATTTCATACAACTTTGGAGGACAATTTACAAAAAACTACGGAACTCAGCAAAAAACAAATACCACAGCCATGTATATTAACTCTATCTTATCTATTGAGGCGACTTTCGTAAACATCACGTGTCAATCAAGGAAACAGGAAGACTTGAATGACACCTTATCGGTTCACCTAAATCACAGACGCCAAAACCAATCGAAGTCAAGGTAAAGTTTTGAAAAAGTGAGGCGTTCGTAACTGATCCAACTAACATAGCTAGGAAGTAGGTGCCATAGAAAAGGTAACTACAGAAAAAAACTTTGCGGCCCGACCTTAACAAGAACTTTATAACTCCGTGAACTTACCTAATTTTCGGCAATCTCCAAGTTTGGCCGCCATTTTGAGGGACTTGTCAACATGAAGCGTAACCGATATAAATCAAGCAGGTAAATCTAAAACCGTCAGAAATACATACGAAAGCAATTCAAATGAACTTTACTTTCAATTCAAGCGGGAAAATTTGAAATCGTTCGTTAAACTTACAATCCTCATGCGACCATTTCTTTCAACAATTCAAACACTACAACTAGTGTTCAAATTCCTCTCGTCGATTCCACCGCAAGAAATAACCTGTGCCACCCAAGCTTCGACTCGAATATGAAGTACGAATCAAGTAACATAACTGCTTCATCTTCGCAGCAATATCACGCTGGTATTTTGATTTTCCAATCGACGAGAACGGTGATCAGGAATTGATCGGTTTGTTTACCTCATAAACATGACCGCTGACCAGCCGCTAAGTAGAAACAGTATAGTGCGGAGTGAGGTGGTTGGCGGGCTTATCGTCATAAGATATTCAAATACATGCTCAAAAAGCTCTAGGACTATCAGTCTAAAGAGTGAAGGCATGCTTCGTGGTACGGACAACTTTTATTTTATTCTCATAACTTTCTACTTTAAATTAGAACTGGTATTAATTAATAGAGTTATCAATATATTTTTAACCGGGTACCCATATAACCTTTTTGCTTGTCATCAGTGGTATAAAACAAAATGTATTTTCCACCAAGAATGTATGCAAAGTGATAGAGATTTGATTCATTCCGCTGACACGTTCTTTTAAGTTATGTCGCGTGCAGGTTTTTTCTATCAAAAGTCGCGCGTGCAACACACTGGAATTGAAAATTCGTCGTAAAATCGCACGAACCTTAGAATGAGTGTAGGCAACTTTGACTTCTGGGGAGATTAAGTGGATGGTTCAAAGGACCCCCTGAGATTTTTTTCAGGACTATAACTGAGATTTGTTAATAACTATGATAATCATCATCATTAGCAGACGGTGCTTTTTGCCCATTGTTGTCATCATTATCGTTATCATGCCGGAAGAAGTATAAAGCCTGCATGTCGCCTTACCTAGCTACACAGAAAATTGTTCTCTATTTTGCTCCCCTTGGATCCTGGAAACTGTTACTATTAAGACGATCAACAAGAAAGCCTTTATAATTATTGAAACTTTTGATTAACAGAATGTAGGAGAAAATTGGTGGTGAGAGTTTTTCGCGTATCTCATAATCTGAACGATAGTTTTAAATATAACAAATAACAATTCATTCAATTTACCTTACTTGTCTCGTGTTGAAAAGTGGCGTTTCTGGGGACTGTAAATTCTTCTCTGATTCTTCTTGTCTCAGCCAAGACTCACTATCATCAACTTTTTTCTTCTGCTTCTTACGGCATGGGACACAGAGAGCTGAGGTAAGCGATTGCAAATTTCTAAGTTAAAGTAAAGCACAGTAGCATCCATCAGGAATTAAAAACCGACATACACTGTTTACTTTTATTATTCTTAATCAAATAAGGGGTGTTTTTTAGTCTGCAAATTTAATCATATTGGTTAATGAGAATCATACAAACTGAGGAAAACTGACCACAAATAATTGTGAACCGTACACATGAGTAAGTATATTGCTTGTCAGGTGATTTGATCTTCTACAAAAACGTTGATTATCAACCGAGCAACATTGTACATATTTCCATCTGTGATTAAAAGCACTTACACATAGATCTATTTTTTTTCAACGTGATGTGTACTTAAGTACCCTTCATCTAATAAAGAATTTCTTCTCTTTTCGAGCAGATATGTCGCATGACGAAAATAGATAACAGAAAATGTTACTGAAGACTACCTGATTCAACTGGAATAATAACTCCAAACAGTTTTTGAATGTCCTGAGACATATGCAAGGTAATTACATCTCTGCCTTGGATATGCTTTCTGGCACCATCATGATCAGGATACTGACATGTTACCTTTGCACTTCTCCAAAACTTCTCCAGTGTGTGGCAATGCCTATAACAAATCCACATTTTTTTGTTTATCCTCCTGAGTGAGGTGAAATAGGCCAATCCTTGCCAAGATTAGCTCATTTTCACTTAAAAACCTCTTTAAACAGGTGGCAGCTTATCAAATGATGGTTTACTTCGTCATTGCATTCAGACAGTTGTACCAAACCAATTAAGCCACACGATGAACCAAAGTTTTTTCCATCTTTGCTATTCAAAAAGCAGTCCTGAGACATAATGAACGTCTCGCTAATGAACGACTTCTTCCTGTACTTGTAATTGTTTCCAACGCAATACAAGTTCGGGAGATCTAAAGGAACTAACTATAACTTTGTATATTCGATACGATTTCAATTTCCACGTCAAAGGAGAAGCCTACTGTAATTCGTGAGTGGTCAGTGGTTATGCTCGTGAGGTAAAGAATGGGTTTGTGACTTTCTCACTCAATTGAAAGACTCGTATCACTCTTATGAAATGGTTGAGCAGTCTCTTATTTTTCTTAAAGATAGTGAGGTCACGCGTATCCTGTGAGCATGGTTAAGCCGCGAGACGCGAGAATCGTATCTTGCGTCTTCGCCGCTCCACGCTCTCAGAGTTGGGAAAAGACAAGACACGTCATTTCCAGTGCGATACAAGAGGTTCAATGGTTATCTCGATTATCTAACTACACTTATTTACATGGTAAAGATTTGTTTTTAAATCTGTTAACTGATGCTAGTCCTATTTGGAACGAAATGTATTTGAAATAAGTAAGAATACTAATTAAAACAAAAGTTGTCTGCAACACAAAACATGCCTTCGCATTAAGACTGAGAATCCTAATGTTTATCATGATACTTTAATGCATAGGTTCGAGTGTTCCCAAAAATCTTCTGATAATCTGCCCACACCCACCCCTCACCCTGCCCCTCGCCACTGAACCGTACTGTTTTCACTCAGCAGCTGGTCAGCGGTCACGTTTATGAGGTAAACAAACCGATCAATTCTTGATCACCGTTCTTGTCGAATTACGGTCGTTTCGCCTACGGGTTGTTTCGCCTACGGGTTGTTTCGCCTATGGTCTGTTCGCCTTCGGTTAGAGTCGATTCGCCTACATCTCATAGGTCGGTTTGCCTACGTGTTAAAACATGTGTTACAGCAGTTGATTCATCTACTTTATGTGCGATCACGCTCGGATCCTAGTCAGTCGATTCAATTCCTAGAGTGTGACTCATAAAGTCAAGCCTATCGAAGTTAAATAATTGTAAATAAGGAGCGTTCGTTTACCTGAAAATTTCCGTTTTAATTTGATTCATCTTCGTTCGAGTAAAAACAAGTTATGTAAATATCGCATATTCTGAGTTGCAAATTACACAGTTCTTCAATTACACTCAGTAACCATGAAGCGTACTCATTTCGCGACATTTTAATTCTATTACACTTATTACATGCGGGGACGTTTAGGTTATCCGAGTGACACCTGCCCCTTAAACAACAGATCATTCGCGTTTAATTCCACAGGGCACAGAGGAGTTCATTGTGACGGTAGGCGAGGCGAAAAGTTGACCGAGCCGATCGTACGATTTGCCTGTGTTAACTGTATAATCGACAATCAAACCGTCAGTGATCATAAAATTTAACTACAAAATGTTACTCCACCACACTCTGTGTTAATTCTAATACACTTATTACATGCGGGAACGTGTGGGTTGTCATAGTGACACCCGCCCCTTGATAAAATAATTCACATGTAACCCTTGCTATCTATTTCGCCTTAAGTTCGAAATTCCAGCCTTATTCTACCTAAACTTAGCTACCCTAAATTAATGTGCAACTTAACCTAAAGGAAAGCCAACCGAAGAAAACCTAATTTTCATACTTAACAATCTTGAAATCATAAACTTAACCGGCTTGTTTTAACTAAACTCGACTTAACTTCGATGCTTATCAACTTTGCGATCATAAGTTCTACCTAAATTAATGTGTAACTTAACCTAAACTTAACCTTAACTATTAAACTTCTGACGTTTCTGTAAAAAAATATAAAAGTTCTCTATTTTAGTCTTACTAGCAACGAGCAGGTCAAGTGGGAACAGCAGCGGAGTAATTGTGAAGCACTCTTATTGCCTGTCTGGTACTGCTCCCAGGCGTCGAATAGTTTCTGTTGGAGTTGCCTGTACTTCCTTCTCTGTATTCTCTTCAACTTCTTGTCTGAAACAAGCTTGATTGTTATTGACGTCAAGCGGGCCTCTGGATGAAGAAGTTCGATTAATAGGTAAAACTGTAATCTGCATTGGCCACCGGCTCGGCGTATCAGGGCGTTGTGCCACCCCTCTATATCGTTGTTGGTCCGGATCGGCTGCTTGAAGACACTCCAATCTTTTGGGGTGAAGATGGTGCTCTCAATCCACTGCTCCTGGATGTAGTCAGTAAGATTGCGGAGGGGCTGGGTCTCTGCCAGAACGCTGAGGCGCACGAACATCGGTCTGATCTCGTAGTGAGGGAGGAACGGGAGGGCCATTAGTTTCCTGATGAACTGGTACGTTGCTTCATCGTTACTGTATGCAGTTTGGAGGCCAAGCTCTTGCATCTGGCGTAGACAAAAAGTTAAAATTTTTGACTTTAAGCAAAACGTACGACTAACGAACGGACTGCTAAAGCTGATGATACACGGATTGACAGTTTGTCCTAACGCTGTAAGGGTTGACGCTTACGTTCTAACAGTTGTATATATTTGTTTCATAAAAAAGGCTAAAGCTGTGAAATCACAATTTGTTTAATAAACTTTAATAATCAGTTTATTGCCTTTTATTCACCTTTTTTTTCGGCAGCGAAAAAAGAGTGCTTGACATGAACAAACCTTTCTCCAAAGAGCCTGGGTCCAGAGGAACACGCAGCCCTGAAGCTGCACTTCTGGCAGGACGGATCTAAGCACCTCCCAGACAGCCCTTTCAAAGTCTAGGGTGACCTGCTGGACACTGGTCTGAATTGGCAGGATGCGGATTATTTTCTTCATTACCTAATTTTGTGAAGAGAAAAAGAAATGATGTTATACATGCCAGAAATTTTATTGCACTATGCTTTAGGATACATAAATAACTCTAAATAGATAATTACTTTTTTGTAGTCTTTCGTACTCTTCCTGGACATGAGGACGAACACCAGTGGTACTTGTTTTGTGTGATCGCCAGAGCGAACGAAGGCATTAATCGTTACCAGCTGCTGGAAAGGTTTGCGCACAAGTTTGAAAGTACCATCAAGATACCAAGACTTGGCTTTTGCGAGGGTCGTAAGTTGTTTGTCTGTAGCGAAGATGAGATGTCTTCTTTCCTTGACGTAAACTTCTGCCTGGAAGAACCCTTGTGGAATGCAGTCTTCCATTATTTCCAAGTCAAGGTCCTTTGGATCCTCCGGGCGAAGTCTCTGCCGTAAACGGTTCGCAGCTCGAGCAATATGCTCTGGCTTAGAGAGTGCTGGACAACCCGTGTTCAGTTCATTCAACAAGACCTTAAAAAAAAAGAAAGGAAAATAAAAAACATTACTTAACAATTATCAAGTGGACCGTCTTTCAGCTATTTTTCTCAAAAATGAAAAGTCTTTGAAAAGTTTATGTAGAATGTTTTAAATTGTCAAATATTTAGGACAGAGAAAATTAGGTATTAGAAAACTTCGGATTTGAAAATTTCCCATTAGCTGAGTTCACTTGAAAGTCAGTAAGGTGCAATTTAAATACCTCTTCCACTATTGCTGAAGCTGGCTTGAACTTATCCTCCAGAGCATTCTCTTTTACCAACTTTATGATTTTGGCTGCTGTCACTGCCCCTGGTTCTGAAGAATGGTTATGGGCGTTGGCCCCCGCTTGAAAAGGTCCGTCCCATTGGATTACCGTAGCCTTGCAAGCATTTCCTTGAGGACGAACAATGCATTGCCAATACGTTGCGTAAGACCGTTTGGACCTGACGTTGTAGCTGTATCCCAAGCTATCCACTAGTTTCGTTTTGCGACGCTTGCTCCCTTCTTCTACTAGCTGGAATGTTACATGATTGTTTGGGTTGGCCGTGTCAGTGTCGTCTCCCAGGAGAGGCTCTTTGATGGAAGATTCGATGATGCCGGGACTTGGCTCGAAGGGAAAAAAATGATAGTCCAAGGTTATACAATGTAGGTCATCAGTTCATAAGTTGTCAAGTAGTATTGTCTATTTTGTTTAACTTCAGAGTTGACTAATAGGTAAAACTAGCGTTTCTAGTAAACAGTTAGTATATCTTTGGGGCCTCTTTGGTAAAAACACAAAACTGTGTGTAATTTTTTTAAACCCTCTGTATCTTTCAATATATATATATATATAGTTACCTTCCTCAATCCTTGTACCCGATGGAGGGCTTGGCGGGGCAGAGAACATAGTCACTTCCATGACTGTTCCGAGGTCTGATGGCGATGAAACGGGTAAAGATAACTCTGGTAGAGCAGAAGGCGTACTTGAGTCTGTTGGTTTTAAGCACATATATTAGCTATTAGTTACTTCAATGATTAAATCATTCAATATAGCGCATGAA